TCCCGTACCTGTCAGTGCAATTCTTGCTTCTACCTGCCCGTGCAATTCTCGCTTTTATGTAGATTCTGGGCATCTTTTTTACGTCTAATATTCATACTGGATCGATTCGCTCAAATCTTCTTTATGGCTGATCTGCTTTTTTCTTCTCTACTCCGGTTGCAGTGATGGATCGCTGGGAGTCACGTATGGCTTTTTTATAACATGCGAAGTTGGCACCGTGACAAAAAAAATGTGCAAAATTTCTCGAGGATGAGTGATTGCAAGCAGAATGCTGTTTCTTTACTGAACGACAGAGAGCTGGGAACGGAAACGGCACAGAGCAACATAGCGATGTGGAAAACTTGGAAAGCAACATCCAATTTTGAATTTTAAATAAAAAGTACAATCATCTTGACCACACAGTTTCGGAAGCATCACAGAACATTCGCCTTCGATTACGCTCAGACAGCGGGTCCCCAGAGCAACCTTGGTTTCTTATTTTTCCTGGATTACTTGTCCTTGACTGCGTCCTAATAATGTACTTTTAAGTAACTTCGAACAAATTTTCCTTAAAAAAGGCCTTGATTATATCTGGACAATTTGTCCGTAAATGACCTTGATTACGCCTGGACAATGTATTTCTGAAGCGACATTGATACATTTGCAACTTGTCCTTAAGTGACTTTCGTTACATCTGAAAACATGTCCTCAAGCACCCCTGATTGCTTCTACATAAACAAACTTATCAGATTCTTCACCTATTTTGATTCTTAGTTTTCAACCCACAATGCCTGGACAAAAAATTTTTGACAAAAAATAAACATATCTGAAAATTCGAGGATGTCTTTTTGTATCAGTGTTATGAGATTTCTGCATTTTCAGTCATTTGAAATGGTTTTGAGAAAAAACTTTTTCCGAACCAGAAAAAAACGAGCTTTTAAAAATTTCAAGTGATCGAAAGTACAATCATTAAAGATAAGAAAATAGAACAGTGATGGCAATATTAAATAAAACTGCGAGGGATTTTAAAACTGTAAAGGGTTTTTTAAAAGATTTTAAAAAAATTAGACTCTATAATCAGCCGCTTTATAATCGTATTTATGACTTCCAGGAAACCAATTTTTTCCAAAAATCTCGAAATTCTTTCACACTTCCAAAACTATCTAGCCTGTAACACGCTATGAAGAAATTGGAAATTCCTCTAATTTCTTCCGCAGTACACTTCTCATACCCAATCTGTTTAAGAACAAACCATGAACCGACTTGTGGGCTCAGCCAGACTCGTGTTAATGTGAGATTGTATATCATGATTTTACCAAACCGCTGAAATTGCTGGAGTTATGCAGAGCGTAAAGCTGAATGCTGTGCTAGAGACTCTTCTAGATGAAGAGATTGATGGGGTCTGCGTGGAAATTGTTAAGGAAGCGAATATGTGCTGCTCGACGGAAATAACACTTTCCCCTTACCAATCCTAGTATAAGGCAGATGGATTCCGTATCTTTCACGCTTTTTATTGCCTGTCTCGAAATGGTATTTCGTAAGCTTAACTGAAATGATGGTTTGAACGAAGTAAAGAACACATTTGCATACAACAATGCATACAGGTTGAAGTGATCTCGCTGTAAAGTTTGTTTTTTGGTTAACGAATACTGCGCTTATTTTGTGATACGTACCGCTAATAATTTTGTTATGTATGATACAGAATCGTTCGCTCTGTTGATTTATTTATGTCGTTTTTTTTTTTAAATTATTCCGTGGTTTTTCAGGAGAATCTTAAAAAAGCTGATAATAAAAAAGCAA